GACAGCTGGAGCACTCATTTGTGAAGGAGGGACAGGTGATCGATGGAGAAAGCATAGGTAAACATCGCAACTGGCGAGCAGATTAAGCTACCTGAGTTTTGAATATCGAACGATGTATCCTCTAACGTGGAAGATAAACATTCAAAGGTTACAAAAGTCAAACAGATGGTTTCAGGCTCACTGCGCTTACTTTGCATAATTGCCTACTTATCTAGCATAAGTAAGCATGTTTTTATCGCCATGAAGGCACGACACAGTCCATCCACATTGCACTCCCAACACGGAAGACTTTTGCATCTTGTAGTTACAGTATTGCGGGTGCTGCATGCAAAATGCCTAACTTTGTGAAAGTTTGATCATTACTTGCATACCAGCGCGAACGCATTTACGAAAACTTAGAAATAATAACGATTAGCATTAGGCATATTAAGAACTTAAAAGAAATATAAGAGGTACTAAGAGTTTGTTAAGAAAAATAAAATTTTCCCCCAAGTTCCGGAGAGGTAAAAAATAGTTATAAATGAGGACAATAAATTTAAATTTTTTTCGTAAGCTGAAAACGGAATGTAACCACTTTCTTTAGGTAAAACGAACTTTTCTTTGGTCAACATTTTTATATATATTACCATCAATGGATAACTATTTATTTAAGATTGTCCATTAAATTCTGGCATAATTTCCAGCGTTTTCAGTGTCTTCGTATGTTAGTCCATAAATTGAGATTCCGTTCGACGTTTACATCAAAAACTTTAAAATGAGATATACATCCTAGGAGCATAGGAGCATTTAGGAGCATATAGGAGCATTTACCGAAAAAAATGAGTTTTTGCATATCAGTTCTTTTGACGATGGTCACGTGACTCATATTTAGAAATGCCTCAAAACAGCAAACCACATATTCGAGCCTAAAGTATGTCCGCAATACAAGTCTGATATTTTAATTCCCAAGATTAATAAAAAAACTTTCTATGATAGGTTACCTCTTAAAAGTGCTTTAATTAGATATTCAGCTGCAGAACTTCTGTGTATATAACTATTTTCCAAGGTAATAGCAAAATGAAATTTGAGACATTTGACAATTTTTTAAATTTACCTGAAGATAAACGATTCAATTTGACTGGAAATGAAATAACTTTTTTCTTTATAATGGATAATTTTCAACTATAGTTGATTACATCCAGGATTTTTTATATTCTTGTGAATTCAAAAAGGGGTGGCCATATATGTGGCCATTTTTTGAAATAATAATTATTCTTCTGTCTGTTTCGTTTCTAAACAGCGCATAAGCGGAGCGACTGTTTTACATTACCATCACAGTAACGCACATGGACAATTTGCTTATTCGCCATACAGGCGATGCGGTAAAATGAAATGCAACTAAAACATTTTCGTTACTACATTTTGTGCAAAAAGACTTCACAGGTTAGCCAAACATAATTTTTAAAATATAAATCGTTCCTTCTTTCCGAACTTGGCCTAACTTGCGTCTGAAAAATTTCGGACAAAATTTTCCGGTTCTGGAAGGGATATGTTTTACACTTATTTACTTATTTTGGAATTCTTCTATAGAATAATGTATGGTAATAAAAAGTTTTGTTCTGTCGTACTTAATAGCATAGGAAATTCTTTGGATAAAAGACGACTCCCCATTTCGCCAAAATTTATGCACATCGCTCTGAATAAACTTAAACAAAAGGGCGATTTTTCTTACTCAAAGGCATTCGCGGGATTAAATCTACTCACAGGATCAAAATAACGTGATAAAATATATGCTAAACTGCCAGCTTAAATTTCGTTATAAAAGTTGCATGCAGCACTCGCCAAAATGTACATTTATTTTCATTAGTTTCGCTTAGTTTAGTTACATTTTTAGTTTATTATTTAGTTTTAGTTTAGATAAAGAGGAAGGATTGTCGAACACAGGATCAGTTTTAGTTTATTTTACCTTATCTAATTTCAGTTGATTTAGTTTAATCTTAGTTTAGTTTTAGCCTCCCTTAATATTTATTTTAATTTATGTTTATTTTTGGATTTGAGGTTAGTTTAGTTTTATTAGTTGTGTTTAAGTTATGTTTAATTCTTTATGCAGTTCTTGTTTTCTATTGGTTGTATTTTTCATTTTAATTATCGCGCACGTTTTTGTTGCCAAACATTCGGTTATTTAACTAATTGTTCCTATTATTTTCTTATTTCATACACTCTACTTTTTAGTTTTTCCCCCATTTCACTTCTTTTACCACCGTTTTCGTATTACAGAATGTTGGAATTTTCGTCTGCTAGAGTGAGCTTGAAACCAGACTGTTACCGAAAATAATTGGCCGCAATAACGCAGCTTTATTTTATTTATTATGCAGCGTGGTATCTACGTTTACGGCAGTATTAGGGCATACTGAAATCAAACAATTTTTATTTCATAACAGGAGCTTGTTAGAGACAGAGCCGTGCAAACAACCGGCGTACCCTTTAACTGTCTTTACTGTCCGTATTACAGTGGTCGTAGGGGATTGGTGGCACTGATGGTGATGACGATAATAATAATTATGATGATGATTAGGAGGAGGAAGATGAGGATGGGTTGGCTATGGGTTGGCCTTCGAATGGTATGCGAAAAGAAATCCTTCCCTGTTCTTTCATAACTTTTCATTTTAGGTTTTCCTTCATTTATTATGACTGCGGTCTATTAAATAGCCAGATTCCACTAGAGATACGCTTTGCAGCTCAGTCGTACTTTTCCTTGATCTGTCTCTACGCAGGGATTGACTTATGACTGCGTTCTTCTATAATGTCTTCACTAGAATCTGGTTAATCGACTCGAGTCCATGGTGCAGAATCCCAATGCGGTTGCCGAGACAATTGCTCGGTAAGTCTTTTTTGCCTAGAGTGCTTATCCATCTCAAAGGAAAATAAGGCAGATGGAAGCCGCAGTGATGAAGCAGTCGGCTACAACCGAACAGATGCCGGATTTGGGCAGCCCAGCCGACGAAAGGTGAGTTGTCGCGGGAAAAATAGCGGACCTGTGATCGCGGATGCTTACTCTGATTAATTTTTAAATTAAGACCTTTTTTTCTTCCTAGGCAATTCGTAGATGGTGCGGAAGAGGAAGCTGTCCAAGTAGCTAAAGAGCAGGTAAATTTCAAAAATATGGTCCCCAAATCCAAACAGAACAGCATTAAATTTCCATAGGCTCTTCATTTTTCAAAAGTCAGAGAATATATTTATATCTATATAAATATTTGGAAGAACGTAAGGCGATCTCTGGGGAGGATGGTATATTCGTCGTCTGACGTATCACGCTCGTTCTTGAGCACATCATCGGAGATAGGGAAAAATGGGAAATACATGGCTTAAATAAGCCTTTTCTTATTCACTCCTGATAGGTCCGTCAGGGTCTGCTCTCATTGGTCCATTCCTCTTGCCTAGGTAGTGTTTAACAGCCTCAAATGACGCTGGTAGATCTATCCTTCTATTGATCGAGTTGGCATCCGATTGCCAGGCTTCGATCACCTCCCTCGCCATTTTGTTTTCTGCCCGACCGATGACTTTTGCGTTGTCGAACCCGAGCCGGTAGTCATTTTCGAGGCTGTGCACGGCGACGTGTGAAAGGTCGTCTTCTCGGTTTGCGGCTAAGCTGTGCTCGTGCATGCGCGATTTTAGCCGTTTGTCCGTCATTCCACAGTAGTTAGCCGGAGAGTTTAGACAGTTCACTCAATAGACGATTCCCGACATCTCCGCAGTGACGTCTCAGTGAAGTCTCCGAGGCCACGGAACGGATATTGACACCCCTTAACGTGGGCCTGGGTCACAGGCCAGAGGCCACAATCCGGCG